GTGGTAGGAGGTTGCATTGTACATCCAGTGATGCCTGTGAGGGGACATATTGTGTCTGGGTGAATGTGACAGAATGGCTGGAAGGTGTCAGCACAGTCTGTGCACACAGCAGCATAGGGATAGCAGCAGTAAGCCAGCAGTACCCACCGATTGAGCACGTTGAGGTAGAGCCTGGAGAACATGCCTTTGCCAGGCCCTCCGGCCGAGAAGGAGCCCCCTCCACCCATCATCATATTCAGAACAGCAAAGGGGATGAAGTCGTCTTCCTATGAAATGCAAGGCATAATAGTCAGCCATAGTGGCTTGGCCCCACTGATGCACCTGGCCTAGACCTCAACTCACCAGGAAGGAACAGCTTTCAAGTCCCACCATGATGTGCGTGAGCTCAGGAATTGGGGTTGGACCAAGGCTGACATTGGACATGTCTCTCTCCACCTGTAACCAACCAGACACATGTCAGCAAGACTGGCAAACTTCCACTAAGCAAACAGCCACATTCAACTAGACACCAGGTGACCTTAGCCCTGTCAATTCTTGCCCTGAATAAGGGACATTCTCATGCTGTCACGGTGCTGGACTGTACACTAAGGGGAAGCATACACACATCCATCAAAGGACATATCCAGAGGCTACATGGCACAAGCCCTGAGAGCCTTCTTGCTGAGTTACCTTGACGATCCCCCCAGTGTACTGTGCTACTGATCGGTCAACATCCACAGCCCCAGTAGCTCCCCAGGCAGGCTGAGCTCCCAAGAGGTACTTTCTGGCACATTCCACCAGGTGCTCATGCTCCACTCCCACTCCAGCAAGCACCATGCGGTCGGGGGTATAGTAGTTCTTCAGGTAGGAATGCAGCACTTCTCGATCAATCTTTGCTATGTTTTCTGCAGGGCAAAACCGGTGCAGGCCCACTGTGTTCTCCCTAAAAGCAGCCTGAGGCAGGCAGAAGGGAAATAAACAAAAGCGAGAAAGAAAACATCAGGTCTCCTGAGGCAAGACTCCACAACATGGCATACAGCCACATCTGTGACAAAAAGACTGGGCATTATCTATGGTCTGGCTGTTTGAGGAGTGGCACATGCCTTTAATCTTAGCACTCAGGAAGCTGAGGCTGGGGATTATGAATTCAAGACCAAACCTGAATAGTATAGCAACTGTCTCAAACAAACAAAAAACCCAAAAATCAACTAAGAAGCTAAGCCTGTTCTGTAAGCCTCGCCACCTGCAAGGCCAACAGCAGGGAGAGGCACATGTGGGCTCCTATTTTACTTCATGAATCATCTCGGTGAGCAGTGGCTCTGGGTCAGGTCTCATGTTCAGGTCCTCAAGCTCAAACTGGACAGTCATCCTCGTCATCTCAATTTCTTCATCTGCAAGAATCCAAACAAGTGTTTGGTCTGAACCAACAAGGTAGAAGGCAGCACTAACCCTGAGCAGCTGAGACTGGCAGATGCTCTAATCACCTCCTAGGGAAAGCCTTAGAGCATCTATGTATGAAAGGGAGCATGCCAGATGAATATTAGGGACCCCAGCCTCTTCTTCTGGTCTGGTCTGCAGCTCTTGGACCTGCTCCAAGCTCAGCTGCCTCACCTGCTGTCTGTTCCAAAACACACCTGTGACAACACAAGGTGGATGTGATGGCACTTAGGAAACAGACACCAACTGAGTCAGGGCTTCATTCCTCAGCCGAAGATATAAGGCCAGGCTGCTATGAAACTGAGCAAAGGGCAGCTGGCACAGACCAGCATCTGTTTCCTCCAGGATCCTCCTAACAGGAATCTCCAAGTCCTGCCATTTGAAAGGCCAGAGAATAATGGAGACCATGCAAGGGAAACTTCTGTAGGCATGGATGGCTCTAGGTGTTTACACACAGGATGAAAGGCAATTCTGAAACAGAATTTCAGGAAACCCTTTAAGGTTTTTAGAGAGAGGTATGGAAGTATGAAGTGTTTATACAATAGTAAGGCCTTGTTTAAACACTTGCACCACTTCCAATGACTGATGTAACAAGTGTCCATCTCCAACAGTGCCCTCCCTCAGTTACAGCCCTTCCAAAGCTCCCCCCAACCACCCAGCCACAGAGCCACACCTGTCAGGCAGGGGTGCAGAACCACGTCAGCCAGCAGGCCCACCACAGTGTCCAAGCCTTTGCTGTCGGCAGACACAGCATACATGGTGGTGTCTCTGGAAGAAAAAAAGCCACAATGACAGATGCTAGGTTCACAACAGAGAAGCCATAACTGCCCACAGTGATGCTTTCCAGATACTATAGAACCAAAGAATTGCTTCTTCCTCTATCCACAGAGGGAATCTCTCTAGGTTTCCCAAGCCTGGCTAAATAACCAGCTGGTCCAGATGAAGACTGGCTTCACATGGAAACACACCCAGCTTCAGACAGCTGTCAGAGCCTGCTGTCTGGCTTAGCATTCCTCACAGGTCAAGGCCTGGACAATTACAAGTTCAAAGGACATCAGGGAAGAAACAAGCATGGCATGCTTTCTGTCCCCCACACTCCATCAGGCCTGCTGTTAATCTCTGCAGCCTCTCTGATTCTAGGGGCTCCAAGAGACTAATGACCAAGGATAAAGAGGATAGTTTTACATGGACATAAAATACCTTGAGGTCTGGCAGTCACAGATACCACCATGCTTTTCCAGCGTAAGCAGAATTTCATCTTTGCTGTCAAATCGAGCAGTAGACTATAAAAATAAGAAAGCTTAAGTAAGCAATCCAAATCTCAGGAAATACTAAGAAAAGTTCACTTTTGCTTTCAAACACACAAAAATATCTGTCTTTTACGATTTAGCATCAACTTCATAACTGAATTAACTAATACAAGTTCTACAAAGAGAAAAACTGAAGTTCTAAAAACCACAAATTAGGGGCTGGAGAGATGGCTCAGAGGTTAAGAGCACTGACTGCTCTTCCAGAGGTCCTGAGTTCAATTCCCAGCAACCACATGGTGGCTCAAAACCATCTGTAATGGGATCTGGTGCCCTCTTCTGGCCTGCAGGCATATATGCAGGCAGAATACTGTATACATAATAAATAAATCTTAAAAAACAAAACAACAAAAAAAAAACTAGCCCAGACTAATGGCTAGGAGGCCACCAGCATGGGACTGACACAGACCCTCTGAACGTGGGTGTCAATGAGGAGGCCTCGGCAATCTATGGGGCCTCTGGTAATAGATCAGTATTTATCCCTGGCTTACAAATGGACTTTGGGAGCCCATTCCTAGGGAGTGGAGGGGGATAGGGTGGAAGGTTGGGGAGGAAGGGAGGGAGAGGGATTGATACATGAAGCAGGCTTGCTTCTAATTTAAATAATAAAAAACCACAAATTAAGACACTAACCGAAAATGCCAATTTTTCCAAAAAATGAGCAATTCCACTAAGATATTTCGCTTCATATCGTGATCCTGAATTAATAAGAACTGGTAATAAAAAGAAAATTGACAGGTTATGTCAGATATTCAAAACATATTTAATCAACAGAAAGCTTTCAAAAGCACTGTTGTAACTTGGCCAGTCACTATTACATTGAGGGCAATGAACACATCTGTTATCCTTGGTAATGGTCTTACAGACACAAAAAAGTCAATGTTTATGGAATCCTACCTATCCCATACATAATGGAAACTTCTAGAATTACAGAAAAGTAAAATGGGGACAGAGGCATACCTTATATAATATCTCCAAATATGGCCATCGTTCGAATCTTGGATAAGTTTTCAAAACTAACAAGTTTTCCCTGTGAGTAGTCTATGATGGACATACTAATTACAGCTGTCAAAATGGAAAGCCTACCTTAGGCATGACAACAGAACTTACTTCCTACGGTACAGAATTGTCCAAACTTATTTTGAGATGCCACACGAAGCCCATTGTCCAGCGTGGTAACTTTGGTTTCAAACTTTTCCTGTCCATCAACTGTAGCAAAGACAGGTTTGGGCACTCCGGGTAAGGGAGAAGAGAGGGGGATGTTGGGGTACGTGGCACCACTGCTGAACCGTCTGTGTGCAGGAGGTCCAAACCTACAGAACAACCAGCCAGTTACATGAGTCAGTGGTGACCACTCATGTACACCACATGTGTGTTCATGAGAAGTCAACAGGGAAGTCTTCAGTAGAATTTACTCCATGGCCTCAACAGAATGTGTAACAGCGATGGACATCCAGGTTCTGCCATAGGCTTTCAGGCAAGTTACCTGAAGCCTTTGGTTCCTTTTTAACAGAAACATATTTGTTCTTATTTTATGTGTTTGAGAGCTTGCCATCACGTGCATGCCTGGTGTCCAAGGAGGTCAGAAGAGTGTTGGATCCCCTGGAAGTGGAGTTATGAATGCTGTGAGCCACCATGTGGGTGCTGGTAACCAAACCCAGAAGAAGCAGTCAATGCGTTTAACTGCTGAGCCATCTCTCCGGCTCCAGGTCTTTGGGTCTTCACTGCCCACTCTGGACAGCAGGGTGTGTGAGAAAGCATTTCCCACATATGAAGCCCTGGGCCAGCCCTGTTCCTCAAGAGTTCCGCCTTGGGTCTGGAAGGCCCCAGCAGGCTGACTCCACCAAACCCTCGAACTAGCTTCCAGTCCCCGGCTCGTTCTCCAGGCCCAACGCGCCTGCGCTCTGCTCCAGGGCCCATTCTCCTCTTCCAGTTCCTTAGGGTGCCTGGTCCGCTCCTCCCTCCCCACCCAGTCCCCATTTCTTCGCGCTAGGACGCGCCTCAGTTTACCTGGGCCGCGCGCACCGAACCGCAGACCCC